GGAGCCACCAACATTCACAAACGACGGTCAGAGGGCCAAATCAGCGAAAGGGGAAAAATCGATCAGACCCAAGGCCAACTAATTCGGCCGTCCATTCAAAATTCCGCCCAATTTTTGAACCAACCGATTCGATAATGGCTAGCCGGCCAAGCTTTCCAAAATGTCAGCAATACAATGCCCTTAATCCGATGAGCAGTTCACTTTTCTTAGATTAACGTGAAATTGTTCGACCAATTGCCGGATAGTCTGCGGAACTATTCCGCAAAAATTGTCATGCAGTTGTGGACCCCAGCATGTGAATGTGGGCAGTTGTAAGTGCACAGTGGTGATGGATTATCCGGAACTTGCATCCCATAAGCCGATTAGTTAATTGCATGCAAAATTAGGTAAAGCTGTGCAGTGTGTCCTGGCCGGAGGAGTGCTGCTGAAACAGAGGTCTAAATGTGCAAATGGCATACAGGCGGATAGTGGTTCGTTCGACCCCACAGCACAATCGTGCCAAACGAATTGCGGTCGTACAGCACACCTCTAATGAATGCGCCACCCGGAACTACAATTGGATAGTGACCCAGTCAGTCACTCGAGTGGACGTCCACCGGGGACCAGGATCTGCAACAAGCCACATAAAGTAATTGAAGGAAGTCAAAGCATCGAATACGGTCTCTGATTCGACCGTCAAGATACCGCATGGAATCATTCACACGAGGCTCAGTATCGCGATACTTTCCGACAAATATCTTAGCAAGTAACTGGCATTTGCCTCTGCAGCGTGGTAAAGACGCCCATTAACGAATCCATCTCACAAATTCTACAATTCTACAATCTATGTTTGCAACCATCTATTTGTTACTTTTCAAGTTTTCTTATCAAATACATTTATTTCTTTTGCTTTACTAATCCTTTGCTGTCATTTTCACCTGCAAGCGTAATATTTCATTTTAAGTACCTTTTGAATGTTGACCGGATCCTCTGATATGGCGTAGTATTCTTGCTAGAGGATAATCTTCTAGCAGAGACGCTGACTGATAATACATCGCCCAACACATTATGCCCGACAGTCCCTTCTCAAGACTGACGTCAGATGTCTTTTTGACGCACACATGTAGCGGCCGAGGACGTCAAGGATAGCACACAACCACGTAACGGAATACCGGAAAGAGATCCTGGCTTGCGTTGATCTGAATACGATTGTTAGTAGTTCATGATACTCATCCGTACATAAAGGAAGAAGAAACGACCAGTGGACGAGAAGATATGATGAACAGAAAAGGGAATTGAAAAGGTGTGTAATGGTAGTTAAAAGTACAAACGGAACGAGTTACAACAGTCGAGTGACCTGTCTGGGTGAAGAGGCGACAACAACATGCCAGCTGGAAAACCGGTGGGGAACGCAGTGCTGTGGGCAACTGCAGGGAGGGGTCAAGGGAGGTGCCGACGTGAAGAGGAGGAGAACGGTGCGAACGTCACGATACGATACGGGGAAGGGGTCAGCGGAAGTGAGAAGGAAGGGGCACCGGTCATCTTCACCAGCACGCGGTTACGCCATCTCCATCCTAGGTCCACGCACCAAAAAAGTGTCACAGCATTCAAACAACCCTGCTCAGATCAGGGAACGTTACACACACGCACCGATCGCATGCATCCCCTGACGGTCTGATAATGGGGCTGAGCGAGCGAAGGGGGACGGTGTCTCATGCAGTTTTGAGTGCTCAGCCAGTCATCCAGATGCCCGATCACACACTATGGGCAAAGTCTGAGCTGCTAAGTCATCTCTTCCCGTCTGCTGGTGTAATGTTTTATCATTTAGAGTGCGCAGTCAATTAGACCGTGCGCTGTCTGCGCCACTTGCCAGCACATTTCTCCGCGCCCGGCATGCTATGCGAAATATGTAAGTGCGTGTACTGGTGTACTTACCTTTCCACACTGCCGAAGCTGCGAGTCCATCACAGCAGGAGGCGCTGGGAATAGTGTGCGCAATCGATGCGCAAATGCGCCAATTAGGTCTTGACACCAGTGGTACCAAACATAAGGAGGAACTGGCCGCAAATTATACCAAAGCAACTTACCCGCAAACCAACGTCCGTAACAGTTGGCAATGAGCCAGCGGGTTGTTATTAGGGAAAGTGGGGAAGTTTGTTTATTTAGTACGTAAAATACAACGAAGCACCACAAGACACTTGGAAAATAGTCGATGATCAGGCGAGGGCTTATCAAGTTGGAGTCATTCGCGTGATTGGCCTGACATATCTGTCTTGAAGGCCGCGATTTCTACGAAAGTATGTACCTTTTGGTCATAGCAAAGTGACGGGAAGGGGATTTTTGGTTGTTACACAAAAGAGGCTTCGCTGTCCGAAAATAGGGTTGGTAGGTCTTTCAACGTATCCCTAGCGGTCGATATTGTCAACTTTCGTCACTTCTAAAGTGTCCGCTGCTCCAGGACATATCGAGTTCGCTACGAGTGTAGGCGTGGTAGCCCAAAAGTTCGTTTCGACGCTGGTGGTAAGTTACGACCTTAATGGGATCGACGGTCTACCAACATCTCCGAATTCAACCTCAGTCAGTTACCTCCATGGCTAATCTCTAGGAGAAAATTCGGAGGGGTATGACATCCTACCCGACCTGCGGTGCGACAATGGTAAAGAATTGCTGAATTTAGCTGCTTATAACGGACGGTTTGTCACACATCCGTGCCTCAAGCATCGCAACAAAATTCAGCGGACCTGGTATTCAAACGACGATCATTCGGCTAGGTAGGTCGGCTACACTTTAGTCGGTTCGTCATTCCTCAGCTGGGTTCACGATAGCTGATCGATGCGTGGTGCTGGAACTGGTAACGCTCATGGATAGTACCGTGTTCTCGTTAGCACATACCTGAAAGTTCTCTCATTTGCATCCCGAATGCCATGTGCAGAAGACCTTGATGCCGCAAAACTCCGACAACTCAGTACCGCCGAGGCCGTGAATACAGAAATTCGGTCTCGTTTTACGCCTTTTGTCGACAGAAGAGACGGTAACTAGTTGTCATCGGCCTTTGGGACTACTGAGAAAATCCTAGATTCGCTCAGCGGCGCCACATTGACTAGATCAGCAGAAGAATCTTGCAATTTTCAACCTAGACAACTCGAGCCAGGTCCCGCAACGACGCTTCCTTCTGCCAACTCAGAAGAATGACGGCAAACTCGTCTAGGGATGACTGCAAGCAATACTAGACTGAAACCGCGACCCCCATTAAACACGCCTCAAGTATTGGTGTCACTCGGAAACTGCCAAATCGTTTGCCAAGTTACTCGTAAGCCCTCTTCACGGAGTGACTCTGTTCGCGATATGAATGGCCAATTTACTGCCGACAACTCGACCAAAGTCGAGCACCTTCCTATCTTCAATGGCTAAACCATCACGCACACGTTCTCATCTGCAGCGGTGTTTTATCCCTATCCGGCCTATTCTGTTATGCGACTCCTAATCTACGAGAGAAATCCCCGGTGCAATGCGGAGGTTGCACAACACCAAGGCGCCCGGATGGTATTCCTGCTGGAATCTACAAGTACTGTTTACACGTTGGCTCTCAGGATCCCGGTGATTGAGCAGGCGTGGGAGGATGAGATAGTTTCTGGTGACTGAGACGCGGGCATCCTTGTGCTTGTCTTCAAGTAGAGAGATAAGGCTCGAGGACTTCGTAAGGTCTTCACAAAGCACGCTATTCGACATTCGACACGCTTAACACAGTATTATTACTACGGAGAAAATAATAAGGCTCCTTAATGTTTCCCCCTAGTCGTGGAGGATGAGCGGAAATTGGAGATGTCTGATCACTGCCGCCTGAGGATCATCCTCCGAGTGAAGTACATCACCTTCGTCTCAAATAAAACAGTCCACACTCTGCCACAAGATCGCGAGGCCATCTGAGCTTTTCTAAGAAAACCGACTGAGAGGGTTAGGGTACGCTCTTCGTCGCTCGCCTCATGAACTCAGTGTTACTGCCCTCGATCCGGCGCTGTTGCCCATCTGAAGGCCTCGACGAGGAGGCTAACTCAAAACCTGGTCGAACGCAGCACTTTAAGACATGGAAGTGCTTCTTTGACCTTCGATATACAGTCACCGTCGCTGGTGGAGAGAACGGGTTGAGCTGTCCAGATCCTCCTCCGCAGGTCGTCACGCGTGGAAGCTTATAACCTGCAACATCCTCGATGCTGCGTAAGAACCCCATCGTCGTGGCTGTATAGATCAGGAATAACCACAGCTGCACCAAATGCCGGAAAACAATTGGCAGACACTGTGCAGGTGTCGCTCATCCAGTCGGAGACTTGGTTATATATTCATGTCCTACACCACGCCGTATTACTGCCAATCCAACTACCCGCAGCATAGTCCCATCCTTATCTCAGACGTTCTCCTGATCTACACGTGCACCCCGTCACACTGCCAACCCTCTGTTCATGGCACAGTTTACAAAGCGAACGATTGCCAGTGTGTGTGCTCTCAATTCGCTCCTAATCATCCGCAACGATCAAGTTCCTCGGTAACGGTTGAGCGAAGGAAGTTATTCGACAGCCAGCCAGGGCTACTGAAAGTCAGTGTGTGTTCCGTCTTGTCTAGAATTGGTTGTAGCATTGGACTGTCTTTTTTGTAGACATCGCGACGGTCGAGGACATGGCGAAGACGGAATATTCGACTATTACAGCCTACGTCAAGTTACAGAGCAACTTAAAATTGTCCAAGTCGCTTAAGTCTAGATTTGCGGACAATCCAGTTTTTCTGCTGTTACACCCGATCTTTGGTTTTTTTCTGCGATGTGAAGTGACAATAAAGTTTCGTGAAGAATTTGCCCAATTCATATTCTCCACTTTGCTGGAATTTATTTGGAATGCTGGTATCCGCATGTTATTGCCATGAATTTCTCAGGTCGAGTCTTGACGAAGAAAATTTGCCAGTGACGCAAAAAATTACCGTCAGGGAAGAACCTCATCACATCTACAGCACAGTCACTTCCAGATATTGCAATGGATCTTGATGCTTCAAATTATGTCAACGATGTAAGTGTTTTTTATTTCAAACTTCCGCCTTACAGGTTTGCCATACACGTCTTCATTTGTTGTTCCTTTCAATGTCGTTTTAAGTTTCTTTCCCACGAACGTTCCCTAATACAACCGGATTAATTGTGACCAAAGTCTGTTTAGTGACGCTGCGCCTTGTAGCCGTAATGACCTGTTTTAAATAAGCCCCACAATGGGCTATTATGAATTATTGCTGCCGCGTGAACCAATTGGTCGAGTTTTAAGTTTAATTCCCTCGACAAAGCCCTTGGTTTTAGCTGGTCTCGTGCTTAATTCATGGGTACCCAAACGTATGTTGTAGAAAAGATTCATGGACAGAATCTATTAAGACTTTTGGGACCCTGTATCGACAGATTTACCAACTTTGCAGGTAGTACGATTGTCGTGACATCCTCCCCGAGAGAGTTGAGACGGATCCGGTCGTTGGTAGTGCTGTCCTGCTTCCCATCCCCAAGAGGGGAGTTCAAACGAAATGCCGTCGTTGCAGAGAAACTATCCCAGATAACGTTGCTGCGAGGATCTTTATGACCATTCTCCTGTGTCTTTTTTGCTGTTCCCAGACAGCGGAGTGAGGGGGCGATTGGCAGGCAAGGGTGGACTGGGGAGGTTTCCTCATCGACAAATTATTTATTTTGCGGCTGATCTTAGCGCAACTATATAGTTTCCAAAAGAACTCGACGAATTGTCTCGCGATTTCTTTGTTACCTTACCGCCGATATGTCCGTGAAATCCCTTTAACCACCCTGCATAATACCACTTCACAAGAGAAAATGTCCGGGCGTACGGGGAAGAGAACGAGTACATCACTAATACAGGCGTCCAACATGGTTGCGTTCTCTCACTGTTCCTCCGTGGCATTCTTCGAGGACACACGGGTAGCGCAAAGCCTCTAGGGTCCTGCCTATGTTTATAACATCACTCTGTCAGGAAATTCCATCGAGGTGGAATTCGCCCTTTATCAAATGATTTTTGCCTCCTGCAAGTCCGGCATACGAGAAAAACCGAAGAACAGCTCGTTGACTTCACATCACAAGAAGTGCCCCTCTTCCTCATAGCTGTCGAAGGACTGGTGACATTCAACTCTCCTGTCTGTCTCTGGCCAATAGCCAATTGCCAAGAGGACATAAGCCGCCGCACACAGCTTACTTACCACATGCCTGCTGGGTTCTGGGAATGCCTGTTATTTGACTGTTCGGTTCAACTAGAGGCAGAAAAATTAAGGCAAAAATCAAAGCCATCCTGTTCTATTGTCTCAGAAACCGATTCCTACGCCCTACTGGTCTTAAGGAAGATTGAATTTTACGATTCCACCTACAGAGCAATCAGTGCACGTTTTAGCCTCAGTGACGTCTACAAAGCTGATGAGCGACTGCTTATCTTTGCAGACCAGTACCATCTCTGTCGAACGACCAGAGTACTTCACTGTTTCCAAAGTCTCCTTATCTGGTACACCATGTACGGGACCTCATCTCGTCTAATAGGCAAAATCCTTATGAATTCATATTTCTGATAGTTGCCGGACGCTGGTTAGTGCGGTGTTCTAAAACGGGTGAGGTCAAGAGATCTGATAGCATTCTGACTCACCTACGCCGCGGTATCTATTTCCTTGCTGTCCTGAATTGCTGAATACTAGAAGTCTTGACTCAGAACCTGTACGAACTATAGGTTTTTGAAGTGTTAACAGTCAAAGCTAACAATTGCTTTGCATCGGGACGCGCACAACAGAACACCAACGCGTGTGTAGCGTTAAAATCTGCCGTCCATGGTGTCACTGAGGAAGCAGCCCGCTTCCCCTAACGACGTTGTAGTTGGTGTCTGTACGTCAGCAATAAATTATTCAGTCATCGATGTCAAGCCCACACTGCGTGATGTCAGTCCTTACTAACACTTTCAACAACTACGACAACCGCCAATACACAGAGCTGTTAATCCAAAATCTCCGTCTCCGTGGAATATGTCACAATCGTCACCGACATGATCATGCTATCTTGACTGTGAACTCGTTTGAAGGGACATATGCATTCTTGGTGAACGCGTCCATAAACATACGAGTCGGCGTTCAGTGCTCTACAAAGCTGGGCTGTTAGTCTGAAGGCCTCAACAAGCTCTTTCTTTCTCAAGGGCCTTCTCGTTTCAGGGGACCCCTTCTGCCTCATTCTGCAGGCTTTACGTTCTGCGCGGGTTGCCGACGCCTAACGAAAGTGCAGTTATTTTATCCTACCGTTCTGGGCACTGGGTAATAAAAAGACATAAGGACTTACCTACCAGTTCGGTCATCCGGTGGAGGGCCTATAACCAGTCGACCCCAGCCCAAGGCCAACCATGCCAACTATCCTAGATTCCAGGCTGCAGGCTGACGTGGACTATGCCTACAGAGTCTCAATTCTTTTATCTGGCTTTAGTGGCCTGAGTAAGAGCGCCTTAAAGGCAGACCAAGTTACTAAGTCCGTTCGCCTAGTTATAACTATGGCAAAGGGTAAGAGCTTCTATAATCACATTTTTGGGTAAGATAAATTACTTCTGCTCCTTGGTTATTTGAAATCCAGGAGGTGAAGCGCCTAACCGACATTAGGGCCATCTTTTAGTCTAGGGCTGAGAACGGAAATGCATCTTTCTTTCGGATAGCTACAGCCTGCCGAGCCGTATGCATCCCCCGATTAGTCATGATATCAAAATCTTTATCATGAATCTGCTATTTTGCAAGTACCAGGCAATGTAGTCTGAAAATGAACGAACGCTTGCAGAGTCCGATTGTCACCGTTTGCAAAAAATTTCCCACATGTGTTAATCTGTTTCATATCCAACAAAGCAATTCATTTCAACTGCGGGGATCCACAGAGACTCGTGTATCGTCTCTTAACGGGAATCCAAGTAGTCTGGACGCACTTCGCGATGGAAATCGAATGGCTTCGCCTCTGCATTATTGACAAGAAAGGCGTAACCGAAGGTGTATTTTGCTGCTGACCGCCATGAATCTGAGGATGTAGTCGGGCAAACGGTTTGGGAGGTCCAACTTAGGAAGTGAAGTGTATGAGCTACTGAGCTTTGATCCTCACCACAGGCATCCCTACGTATGGGTCGGCCAGTGATGGTCGTGGCTACCATAGTTCGACGATTGATGGCAGTCCACGGGGTCTTACGTACATTGAAAGACAGTCCCGAGGCCTTTCGCAAGTTGCGAACGCGCATCGCATGTTCTTGCGTTTGCCATTAGATTTTGCACTAATATCCTTGGGCCATGACCAAGATCTCGCTTCCACTGAGAATTCCTGTTTTTTTCGACAAGCAGAAAGGAAGGGGCTTCTCGATCGACCAGATGAGGTGTATGACAAAACTAAAGAATATGAACTCATTCTCGCATAATCCAATTGGCTATCAGCGGACCTCAAGTTTTTTCCCTTGGGTTGATGTCCTGTTATATTTCGCGGATGCCGACCGTATGCCAATTTTCGTTTGTCCCGCTCAAACTTGTAGAGGAAATAAGCAAAAAGTTACGAGCACCCCGACTGGCGTACTTTGGGCATCCCAACACGCTCTACAGTATGAAGTCTGACGTTTTTCGTTGTGATCTCGTCTAGAATGGTGCGTGACCTGTGTTAAATTACCTTTATGACATAAAAGATGTAGTTAGGAGCCAATTAAGATTCCGTCAACTTATGATGGAGTTTGGGGACCTGGAGTTATCGAGTCTCCATCTTGCCTGAGAAGTTCAGCGTTATGAGAGCGCACACTCGATTCTCTGTTTTCAAAATGACGGTGCCCTGGCAATCAGAATGTAATTATTTTGACATCTTTTGCCAACGTTCCACCAACTGCGTCTTTTCACCAAGTCTCATCTCTTTAATTTATTTGCGGATGAACTGATCGAAAGGAAAATCAGAGTGAGTCTTTAAAGGCTATTCTATTGACATGGACTTCAGATTGGATTTCACACAGTATGTTGTACTGCTGCCTGCGAACCCCTCAACTTGTTAGCTTAGAAAGGGTTGGCGGAACCGGCTAATCGTCGTCCTACCAGTGTCAGTTCTCCCTGTCAAAAAGTCGCTGCGAGTACTCCCCAGTTTTGTCTTGTTTATGTTTTTTTCTTGGGAAAGATCAATCGATGAACTGGCGAACTCAACAGCTGTCCATCGAATAGGGCATGGGGTACTCGTTCTTCGAACTTGATGCGTCTGTACCCCATTTTTTCCTCATTGATTTGCTTTTGAGTCGCTGTTTGTGTGAAAGCGAGCTACTAATATTCCTAATAGTGTTTTAAATGCCAATACTTTTACAATTTTCGACAAATTTCCAGAGTTCAATCGAAATGTCATGGGCGATTGCTGCATATGACCATGCAGAGACACACTTCAGCCTCCTTTGCGTCGTTCCTGACTGCCGCCAGCTGAGGTTGTCATCTAACGATGATCTCATCTACAAGAAATTCCGTCAGGCATTTCCAGATCTGGAAGTTGAACATTTGTCCGAGGAAATGCTTAAATCCCCAGAACAGAAAGAGGCAAGTCGAATTGTCGAATTATAACAACACCAAGCACTGCTATTACATGAGTTTTGTTTTTCATCGATTTTGTGTCTCGGTCAGGTTTCCACCAGTTTCTGGCCTCGTTAAACTCTCCCGTAACCTTCGTACCCTGGAGAATACTTCAAAATCAGCGACCTCTGTCAAGAATGTGTATATATCAAGCACCACTCGTTCGATAGGTCGCCGCCGTATCTGTCATTATCTCCCCTACCAGTTCGCAAATCTAGTTGGCTTTCACGTCGTTCACTGGGTAACTCACGTGCCGTAAATGTCTGGATAACCTGTTTGCTGGACGCATTTTTTCCAAAATAAGCTAATTTTATCCCTCCCAACAAGACTAAATCCGTTCGAATATTTGGATGACAAGCTCATAACAGTAATCATTGATTAAAAGCTCTTGGGACACAGCACGTACTGAAATCCAAACAGCTGCCCTTCCTTCTAACCTACGCGCCCTTATATATCCTGTTTTTCTGTATGGACCTTGAATCTCATTACCAGTAACAGCGTAGATTGTTCCTACCAGACGTCGTGCTGTTAGTTCATGGTACTTCGGAGTTGGAGCAATTTCAATAATGCCTGTTATTTCTGATGGTTGTGGGGCATACAACATGCTATAACGGGAGGTAATAATGACATGGCGTCTCATACTGTTAACGGTTTTATCTGGAATGACTCTGAAGTCATCTGGCCTTAATTCTATGGCTAGCCGGCGTCCCGATTTCATAGGTTCGTTTGCTCATTGCAAATTAGCCACCTAACGCGCCTCTCACTGTCACGATTTTTGTTCACTTTTTCCCGGTAGCGTCAGTGAAAGGAACCATTGAGAGACGAAATCATATTTTCAATTTCTCTCCAGCTACCGGTTTACAGATTATCGGTTGGTGGTAGTTTTCGGTCTTTTAGAATCGAGCTGAAGCCGCCTGTCGGTCGGATTGCCGTTGAAGCCAACTGCTTTTACCTCTGAAATCCATGTTAATTCTCATGGGCACATTCGGGCTCACTTGAGGGCTAAGTGGATTCTAGCATTGCATATTGCCTAACCTTCATTCTCACACACTGCAGAGGTCCTTAGAGCGAATAGCTGTCGCGCCTGCTAGTGGCCGACGTACATTTATCCTGTTTACTCAAGTCTTCCGAGCAGGAAATCCGTCTTGTACTTCGCCAAGTTTTCACCTTGTTTTCTTCTTTATCGGGGTCTGTTTTCGTTTGTAGAGACTAAGTTAGCTGCGCATAGCCATAAACAGCACGTAGTTGAAATGTGTTGCCTACAAAGGCAAAGGAGGCTGGAATGGTCACCTCAGGCTCATCTACTATCATTAGCCAGTCCCAAGGTAATGTCAGGCTGGGAAGCTCTAATGCTTGAACCGGGGTTCACCCTGTCATTGCCCTTGAAATTCGACCACGGACTAACACTGTTGACTGCGGTCTGGCTCGATCGCGGAAAGGTGTGCGGCAGTTTGGTTTTGCCTGGTAGATCCGGACGAGAACCATTATTTCTCCAAGTCATGTTTTTGAATCATCGCTTGTCAATTGCTCTGCGACCGCCTGTGAGGGCCTCAGAGCGCAGCTCTAAGGCAAAACAGAACGCTCGTATTCCGTCCTGCGGTTGTTCTAGCATGGGAACGCTACTTCCACATGAACCAAGGGCGACTCATATCTCCATCAAGCCGGTGAGCACTGCTCTCTCTCTCTCTCTCTCTCTCTCTCTCCCTCTCTCTCCCTCTCTCTCCAATTTGCATTTTTGACCAAAGTGCACGTACAACTTGTGAGGGATTCTGAGTTTCCGTTTTTTCACAAAAGGTCCGGATTCATGAAAGCAGAGCATGTTGACAGAGGTGATGGCTTGATATCTAGGATGTGAATGCATTTTACAAAGTCTTCTGCGCGCCGGTATTTCTTAAGCGTAATTTACTACCCAAGGCAACACTTGCTGTCCAAGTTTGGTTTCATTAATTGTCAAAAAGGACCCGTGTAAAGCGCAGCTGAATTTTTGGGTCTTGTCGCTACGTCATTTTTCCTTTTTATCTTTTAGCTTTGGCGCCCATTCTGCATGGAATTTGAGGGCGTCATTGAGGATTTCAATCAAGGTACCCTCCTTCGACTAGATGCAAACAAGGGCTACGATGAAGCCAACACATGTGTCGTCCCCAGGATCCAGTTCCTTGCCATTGAGATCGCTCGAAATCGGCAGGGCTTGAATGATCGTGTGAAGAAGACGGCAGTAGGCTCCTAGCGCCTTCCAGTTCCAGCTTTTTCAGTACCTCGAAATGAACCGCCGCTCCGCGGCAAACATTAAAATGCCACATATTGTATTTTTTACTTGACCTCTAGAGAATGTACAAACCTGAAGAGGCTGTTGCGATCGCATTTTTTTCTGGTAATTAGGTTTCAGTTTTCGCCGGGCCCTCTGAATCGTTATATAATGCAGTGGCCGTTATCTGCTTGATTGACATAAGTAAGTACTATTTTAATAAGCAGCATTATTATAAAATGAGTAAAGTGAAACTGTGCAGTCCGAGTATAATTAGTGGGCCTAGCGACCACACGCAACGTCCATCTACGTGCACCGGTTGCCGGTGAATTTCATTT